ATTTTCTCAATTTTATGGTTGTGTGAGCACAAAGCAGTTGTGGACACGTTCAGTAGTTTTTCATTCTTAGGAGAAAAATGTTTACAAATTAAGTATACTTTTGTGAATAGTAATAGAACTCTTCTTTCCAAACTCTATTTATTGGATCTGTGCTCGTCTTAAAAACGTGCAGTGAGATAATGTCAGGTGGTTGAAAGTTGTTAGAGTTTGCACAATCAGTTCTAAAATTATTATGGATTTTATGCAAATCATTTCTCTTTCTTCTTCTATGAGCCAGTGACAGATTGACCAAGTACATACTCTTCCACTGGGTGGCAGCAGATTGCCTTAAAGACTAATAAAGAAGAGAACTTGAGAACTTTGAAGCTTAGTGTTTGTCTTTCTTCAGCTCCTGCATGTATAGCAAGGTTGTGTTCAACTAAATACGATCAGGGTTGAGTATGCCATTCAAGACCACATAAGAAAGTGGACTAGGTCTTATTTAAGTAGTGGATCTCAATAATTTTCTGTCATGCCCCCCACACACCCCAGCGAATTGAAATACTACTGAGAACCTGATAACATGTATAATTTTATCTGTTCAAACTGCTGTATGAGTTGCTGCCACCTAGTGACTGGAGGCTTGTTAGCATTCAAGCATTAGAGCTGTGGTACACTTATGTCCAACGTCCACATGAAGCCTTTCTCTTTAATGCAGAAGTTCTGCATTAAAGAGAAATTACTCCCTAGAAGAAAATATAATGACAAAGTTTTATTTTGTGTCTCCTGTCATTCCAGACCACCGTGCCCCCGTTCACCCCTTCACCCACAGAGTGCCAGTCTGCTGGTCTGGTGTCCAGCTCACCTGTGCTGTCTGGCAGCTACAGCAGCGGCATCTCCTCCCTCAGCCGCTGCAGTGTATCAGAAGCATCTGGTACTGAGCTGCCCGTGGGTGACCACCCTCCCTACCCTCTGCCTCCTCCGACCACCCTGCCGAACTCCATCTCCAGTAGCTCTGACGAGCCCATTCGCAGGGAGAACAAGACGCCGCCACCTTACAGCGTGTATGAAAGGAACAACCCCCGCAGACCTGTGCCACTGCCCCACAGTCTGTCCATCCCCCCGCAGACGGACCCGCCTGCCCTGCCACCTAAGCCCCACCAGCTGCGCACAGGCAGCATGAAGCTGGAGGGAACCTCCGACCCTCGAGTCCCACGGCCACGGCCACTGCCCAGAAAGGTGTCACAGCTATAGGTGCTGCTCAAAGGTCCAGGTCTGGGAGTCGAGGATAGAGGCGGGAAAACACACACACTGGCGTAATTTGCACTTTTCTACTGGGCACTCACTTGTTTATTCAGATTTTTTTTTTTTTTTGCATTCCTGAACTACACCCCAATAAAAGACACAAGCAAATAGATTTACAGGCAGCCAGGAAAACTGAAGGAAATGTCAGACGTGGAAGTTTCTTTTGTATTTACTGAAGGGCATTGCACTGACTTTGACTCGGTCATTCCGCACTTTTAGCTCTCGTACGTACGTGTAGGTTACCACAGTCAGTCGCAACATGTTTACCAGAACACAGTTTTGATAGATGTAATAATCTCAAATGTATGTATATTGGTAATATACAGTATGGACATTTTTTTTTGCCTTAAGTATTGGGAACAAAGTCTTTTATCCGTAAGTCTTGCACGTTTTCTTATTTTTAACAACTCCTACATTTGTAAACTGTATGGCTTATAAGGTGCTAGAGGCCTTGGGTATGCATTTGGTTAAAAGTGTAGTAGATGTGGGTGTGTTCTCATAGATTAGGTCACACAATCAATGGTACAGAGAAGCCACAAATAGTTTGACTTACAAAACATAAATCTCCTTCTGTACCAGAAATGTTTTTGTTTTTTAAACGCCAACATTTCAATGGCTTTAGCACAATACTGATGCGTTTGAGACACGTTGACATTGAGTGGCAGCCAATTTCCAAATATAAGCCTCGGAATTTCAGTAATTGGAATCACAACACCGGACCAAACACATGCGTTAAACCCAAGTGCAATTTGTCAAGGGTCAATGATATTTCTGTGAACATAACCTAACTCCTCTCCGTGACAAAAATAGATTCAGGAGGGATAATCAAGTATTGTGCCAAAGGAAAACGAACATTGTGCTGTGAAAAGAAAAAAAAAAGATTAACGGAAATCTTGTAAAAGCACAAGAAAGGCTTTTTCACCGTATTGTCATTTCTCCTGAGAAAAATGTAGTGATCACTTAGGAAAGCACAAATGTTTTCATCCGTACTGTTACTCGGAAGTTTTCGCAGCGAGTGGAACTAATAGTTTCACCGTCAGCTCTCAACGACGAGTGACTGTCAGAGAAATATTTACAAATTAATCATTGTCAAATTCTTTGTACGGCTACGATTTACTTTGTTTGATTAAAAAAAGGAAACAAGTTGCATTCACTTTACTCACTCACTCTGAGTACCAACTTACTCTGTTTCGACAACATTGCATTTGGGCAGGAAATTGTTTTATTGCGTGGCGAGCAGCTTTTGAGAAAAAGTAAATTGACCTAACATGTTGGTTAACCTAAAAAATCGTGCAACCTTTTGATGGAGAGCGGGTGGGATAAATTGTGCGGGTTGGGGTGGGGGGCTAGCTTTAGTAACATTTGTATGTTCCACCAGAAACTGTAAATTATATGATGAGATTAATGTATGTATGCCAAATATAAAATTTGTGTATTACAATTAATGTAAATATTGTGTTTTTACCAAAATGTAGCTATAACAATTTACAGCTTTGAATGTAATGTTAAAGCAGCAAATGATTATTATTATTATTATTATTATAAATGTTCAAACTTTTATGGTTTTTGTGAGTGTAAAAAAACTAAGATCCTGTGTCATGGCACCTAACACATTTACAAGTTCAATAAACTGATTAGTGGACACGTTTCTACAGTAGAAATCACAATTTTTGCTCACATTAAAACGGTTTTAATTGGACGACAGTAATGTTAATATTATTACAGACCACTCGAGATTAGTAAAGGTACTGCACTTTAGGACTCGGACAAAAGTAAAGTCTATCAAAATTGGTGTAGCGTGAGCGTGATCAGGTGTTAATTTATTAATTAATTTATTCTTTCTTGTTAATAATTATTTACATATTTGTTATATAGCAAAAGTTGGAATGATGGTTTATATTTTCTTATTTTCCAATATAGTTATCGTAAATATTTATAAAATAATACAGCGTGGCCCGTTTCCGGTCGCGTTTACTCTATTTTTTTAAAATCCAATCACATTTCAAGTCTCATGTGTTACCAGGGTGAAAATAATCTAACCCTCAGAAACACTAGTACTGTGTTTGTGGAGTTCATTTTAACCAATTAGATTTTGAGTAGGCTACACTAAGACCGTCCACCGATTTGAGTGATTTGATTGGACGGTCTAAGTCTCAACTCTACCAAATTGTATGTAGCGAGTTTCAAGCTCTAACATGAAGTTTTCTCTACGTCCACTGCCCCACTGTGGAGCGGACATTCCCAGCCTAAAGCAAATTAAAACGTATGCCTTAAATACGACTGGACTCTCAGCATCAGAAAGAATGGACTGTTACACGCATGATTTGTAAAACGGCAATTGAACTTATCTTAGCGTGAGGAACATGAACTTCGTGTGCAGGTACTCATAGGTTTTGGTGAGTAAAATACATTTTCTGTTTAACATACTATTGTATTGTTTATAATGGTATAACTGACGTTATTTGTCTATTTGCCGCAGCTGTGGCTGTCTTGTGATTCGTGGGTTTGTTGCTTTAGCTTTGACGTTATAATGGCTACCGGAGTTACGACTCGTCATTCTACATTTTTTGTATGATATTAATTGTTTCCGTAGTTTAGGTAAGAAATACACGGCACGCCAATCTCAACTAACATTAAAAAGCTTAAAAATAGATGGGGATTTTAGTCCCCACCAACATCTCATTAAAACACCTGTCCCAGGCGCTAACACACAGGTGTGGCTAATCACACCAAACACATGTTAGCTGCCAACGCAGAAACACCCACATTCGTTGCGCATAATTAATATTATTTACACCTCCCTGCAGCCTGTCACAACAAGTTTTATTAGAAAAATATCATATTATTCAACACAATGTTTTAAATACAAGCAAAGAAGGAACAAAATGGCCCAGTGTTTAGATTCGTGTACATTGTAGTTGACCGTTTGCTTCCAACACGGTGTGGTGAATTTTAGAGGATTTTTTTTTTAGTTTCTTGATTTATAATGACATGTTATAGTATTCCTCAAATTTAGCCATATATGATGTTTTTTTAATTTTACACTGTTGATAAAAAATAATATTCTACTCTGAGTTGTAATCCCAACTGTTGCCACTTGTTCATCAGGGCATGGTCATAAGCTTAGCACTTATCTTTATCAACTGTATTTAGTACTGTTAATAGTATAATCAACACATAAGGCAGTTGAAAGACTAGCTTTGACATAGCTCCCAATATGAGGTGAAATGAGCTTCACCTAAATGCTGAAGACCAATTTTTTTTTAAATATATATTTTTATTATTCTTAATTTTGAAGCTTTTTTAGGTCAATCGTAGCATCTTGTTGTTTGAATATTGAGCGTGGTGCTAGCAGCAGCCTAAACCTAGCAATGGTTGTCTGTTGTTTTGTGTACAGCCTAGGATGTGTCAACTTCTAGGTTTGCATGAGAAAATTAATACGCTGAATAAAACAGTTACCGTTGGATTATTTTGCATTAATCTTTTGAACCAGATTACTAAAGTAAATTATCATTAATTCACTGTTCTGTCAGTGGAAGCTGGAACAGCTGTAAAGTGAATGCAAATGGAATTTTTCCAATATTTATGTTTATACTTACAGGCTCTGATAGAGATGTCAATTAGTAGCCAGGTTTATATGTCTTGTTTTATGTAAGCAGCATGTGCAGGAGAATGTTGTCATTTTCCTGGCAATATTTTGATTGCGGTTTGATGTAAAGTGATAACCACCTCTGCTGAAGTCGCTTAAACACCTCACTTCAGTCAGGTAAAGTCCAATGAAAATATCTCTTTGACACCGTCTACTTAAAGGCAGCAGTGGGCTTCGTCACACTCAACCAAAGGAGCAAGTTTCCCCCCCATCAGTCTCAAACATCTAATTACCCCACCGTGGCGGTTGTTCTGATGACAGCTCTCGCTCCATAATCAGTCTGGCAGTTCTGTATGAATTGAACCGTGCTGCTTGACCTTGACGGTCCTTGAAAGATTGCACATCGGGCCGGACTGTGTTATTTGTGTGCGTTTCTACCTCCGTCTGTAACAACCTACAGGGCGGCGACAGATTAATACTACTAACCTGTCAGCGTTCATCTTAATCGTTGGTGGTTGGCAGTAATTTGACAGCAATTATCATGTCAGGAGTGAATTCCCGCCCTAATCGCAGAGTCTCCTTGCAGCAGAGGGAGCACTACGGTGACAGAGAAGACATGCCGCCGCCATTCAGTCAGCCCAGGAGGATTGTTGTCAGTTATGAACCTCCACAGGCTTGTCAGTTGGCCCATTATTGAGAGAGGCACTGGGTTTTGCTTGTACTAGCAGCGAACAAAGCCTGGTTAAAGGACAGGGGGGGAGCCAGGCGGGCGACAAATTTCTGCTGATCCCAGACGGTGACATTTTACATTTCGAGGGCAGAGAGAGTCTTCCTCCAACAATAGGAAACATAGCCGGGACTCGCTGTGATAGGATGTAAATGTTAGGATCCTGCAGAGCTGGCTGTAATTGTGAAGTCACTCTGCGCATTTCTTAAGGATGCAGCAATTATTATAAACAGCACCATGTTCTTGGCAGTAAACTCTAGACCCCATTATACAAGCACTAAACATCCTCCATTTATAGCATTCATGGGTGATGATACACAATTATCATGGGAAAAGCAATGGTAGGTATTAATTTAAAGTTGCCGAGGGCAAATTTTGGAGAACACACAGCCGGGGAGAAAGCCAAGGTGTTTGTCTCGCTCTGCAAATGTCTCCAGGGACGGGAGAAGCTGGAGCAGCTCTTCAGGGACCAAAAGAACCTCCGTCTAAGAGGCACAGTGAACAGAAGTTTCAAAGAGAAACTCACAAGAATAGATGGCACATTTTATCTTCTGGCCCCACCCCTGTATCGCTCTGTGGCGTTCAGGAGGAGATTCTTCTCTTCTTCATGTAATGCCTTCAACTACAGCAGGTGTGTCATGGCAAAACCCATGAAGTTACATTCACTAATCTCCTCAAAGGAAGCCACTGCCTTTTTTTTTTCTTTTTTTTTTTTTTTTCAATTTGACAGTTAATATACACAATGTCACCTTTAATCCCCTTTTATCTTAATCTAGAATAAAAAAAACTGCAGGACCAGGAAATATTTTTTCTTTCAAGAAGAATCAAATGTTTTTCATATCTATTTCATTAAAATTATATTATCTGCTGTTTTTATGTATGTTGCAAATTAAAAAAATGTTTTGCGCCGAATAAACAATGCAATATTGATCAAATCTTTTGAAAAACAAAACCTTGAACATTGGATTAGAAATGTTATATTTAAATGTTACTGTGTTTCCAAAAATATAACATTTATTTAGTCCAACGCCTGGAATAGAACATTGAAGAATAAAGATTTGATGGAAAATCAGCAATTTGATTTGATAGAATCAAATCAAATTGCTTCCTGAGGAAGTTGTCGTTAAAATTATTGTTTTTACTTGACCCAAAACTGATTAAACTAAAACCTGTAATTTAAATCTGGTGTGTGCCAAACACACACAGCTGCATAATAGAATTTGGATCTACGGATAATTTTCCCAAGGGGAGAGGAGAGCGTAAACTTGAGCTGATGCAGCTGATCCATGAAAAATATAACAATTCGACTAAAACCCTGGGATTTAGAGGAAACGGTGGAAGATGGATTTATCTTAAATACCCATTTCAAAACCTATGGGGGGGGGGTGCATTGGAAATAAAATATGCATGATTGTGATTAACCCAGCGTTTGAATCTCACTACTGTAAAACTCTAAATATCCTTTTTGTCCCACATGTATTCCAGTGAGTCGTCCTCTCTAGGTCACCAACTGCTGCCCTGTTACTGAGCCTTGACGCCCACTGAGGAATCTCGATCTTGGCTTCCACTCCGTACTCCCATGATTCCGTACTCCCTGCGCAGGAGGACCAGAGGACAACCTTGCATGTGAAAATCAGCGGCAAAGGTACTGATTTCCTTGTATCCTAGCTGACTCTGGCGCCCGCCCTGGTTCTCTCCAAGGTGGATATTTAATTAAAATGTTGGATCCTATCTGTCTCCGCTCTCCCGGGTGATCACCTTAGTTCTGCCCGGTTGGTTTAACACTGAATAGAACTTTCTTTCTGTTTCTCCTGCACATGTGCCTTAACAGAAGGACAGGTGACAATTTTCCAAACATCTGCTGAGCGGAGTCACAGTAAAAGGGCAGCCAGACTTTGGCTTATCAGTGCCGACCAGACATCAGACCGTGGTAATTTGATGAGATTTATAATTTATCAGGCCTAATGCACAATTGTTCTGAGTTGAAAGTGGAATAATCAGGCGGATGACATGTGAGATTGAAGACTCCTGCGTTGGAACGAAGCAGGAAAAGTGGATTTTAAATGATGTGGCTGATTTGCGGTGTGTAATCTGCGGTGTTTACTTGCTGGAAACGCCGTTAGTCTGTTGGAGAAACGCGTCCAACGTCCTCTATTTTGATAGTAAATTGTGGAAACCAATCAGCGGCTTATTACATTTTCAGTACATAATGTATTCCCTTCCATTCACAGGCGTACAGTTTAGCCTCGTGGTCATTAGTGTGCAGCGTTCTGCTGGGTTGATTGATGAGATTGAACAGTACAACCTTTAAACACAGGCCAAGTCGGGGCCAGAGAACTTCATTTACTCTCATGTGACATTTGAGAAGCAGATATAATAGTGTATGCAGATGATAGTTAGCATATGCATAAAGTCTGGTGTAGTACGGAGAACTCGAGTACGCTGGAACTGATTTTTAATATTGAATACCGAACTTCACACCACAGCAATACCCCGAGTAGATCTCTGAGGCGTACTGTGCAGTATTCATTGCACCTACTGTATAGTATGATATGTAGCAACATAGTGCAACAGTGTTCATCCATACTGTACGTGTAATTGAACATATTTGATTTCAACCATTTCTTCTGACCTGGTAACATTTTTGTGGCCTGATTCATTGAAGATGTAGGTCCTTTAAGCCAGAAGTAAAATGTGAATTATAAATGACAGTGTGTTCATTACAGTGGTGTAGAAAAACACATAATACCAACACTAATAAAGGCTTTTTGTTTTGAGTTAAACTGTAAACATTTCCAGCCTTCAGTGGTTGTACATCACTGGTTTTTGATACAATCTTAGCAGCAGCCCCCGGAGTTCGTTTGACTTTTTTTAGCAGCCGTTTTGCAGCTGTTCTTGAACGTTGCAGAGAACGGCATAAAAACTGCTGCTCCTTCTCCACTGCCTTTACTTATTTATTGTTGCGTTTATCCATTTCTCATTGGCTTTTACTACACTGTCTGCTTTTATCTTATAGTTTTATTTCACCTTGTTTAGATCTTAAATTAGATCTTTTAGCTTTAGGCTGCCTGTAGGAACTTTTGGTGTAATGCTTATCATTACTTTTAATTGTTACTTTCATCTTTTTTGATCAGCTTTTACTACTTTTACTAGTGTTATATCTTATCTTATTTTTATATGCTGATTTGTTTTTACCTTCTAGCTCCTGTGTTTTTTTCCCATCAGGAGGGGGGGTCATGTGATGAAGGAGGCCGGGGGGACGGTCTGGGAGGGTCGTGTTAAGGATAATGCACTGCTTGAACAC